TTCCAGTGCACAAGCCTGTGCTTATACTAGCAATCAATAACCAACCAATAGCTGTATTCAATCAGTGTCTCTAACACAGAACAGATTCATGGCATGTACATTTATCAGTCCCTTTATTCATAAAATCTTTTGACAGTCTACTGCTTGAGACACATGGAGAAGTATAGATATCATAGAAAATGGGCAGCAGAACCAAACCTCTTTGCAGTTATGATCTGTGTGAACATGGACAAACTTTTAAACTCTGTCTATGTCCCCCCTTTTTATTTCAAAGATGGGATGAGAAAAATCTACATCACACAGTGGCTTGGAAGATTGAAAGCTTTTGATACATTAGTGCCTTGTGCATGTGGAGAGGGTAGTAGGCGGGGCTTAGCTTGGGAAGCCCTGAGTTGAGTTTTCTAGAGGCAAAGGCCATTTTTCTGGGGTTGAATAGCTTCTAAGAAGAACCTCTTAGGTATATGTCAATGGATCCAATTTTCCCACTTCCTCCAAAGGTGTGAATTGCACTGGCAGTGAAGTCTCATATTTCAAATTATTGATCAATATCAGACAATTATAAGGATTAGTTCTATGAAACAAATTTTTAAGGAAACAAAAATGATCATGAAAGTTCATTCATTCCAAGTACCTAGAGTTCTGTGGGACCTAAGGAACTTCTTTTTGATTGGCTGTTTAAACTGTCAAGTCATAATAATATGAATTATTATGAATGGTTTTCCATTCATAATATTTATATTTATTTCTAATATCAGGATTTGCAATATACCTCAGAAAACCTGAAGTGTTTCTTGGAGGGATAAATAAGAAACACTGCTATTACCACCATCCCTGAAGTGACCCAAGATGGCAAATTTGATTTTCTTAGAGTAAGAATAGATGTTAGCTATAGTGCACTCTGCAATTAAGTGAATCATAAAACTCATCTTGCATAAAGAAGTTAACTTTAATAAATCTGTCTTAACCTCAAATAATAATTCTTAAGAAATTGGTGTACTCTTGAGAATTGCAAATAGAACACTTAGAAGAAATGACACCTTTTCTCACTTAGTTCAAGATAATTGGCTTTATTCTCAGAGATTATGCAATTTATATATTTCAACACCACCAAGTGTTTTAGTGTTTTTTGAGGGGGATAGGAAAGAATTATGGTAAAGATATTTTTTGGAATTCTAATAATGAATCCTAAGTTTAGCCAATCTGGTTGAGGTGAGATTTATCACATTCTCCCTTTTTTATATTTTCACTTTTTTTCAACTAAGGGTGGATCATAACTGAAGACAAGAAATTTATAATTTCTTCTCTGTTTTTATCAAACAACATTATCTACATGAATTATTATCTAATGTTGCTAACATTTATTATACTAAGAAAGCTAAGGAAAATTTTGACAACTTCACAACTGCAGAGCATTCTACAGTAAATTATTTGAGGAAGGTAAACCAAATTATTGTTTCTATTCAAGAAGAAGAAACAAATTGTCATAGCTTCATGTGTTTTTCCCTTGGTTTTGAATTATTGCCAAAACCAGTTTTGAGCCTTGCCAATGTTTATGATTTTTCATAACTATGAAAAGCCAAAATCCTAGCTTACCTAAATAACAGCAGAAAATTAGTTGTGACAATGATAGGAAAGTTTCATAACTATTGCAAAAATTCTCTGAAATAAAAGTACATACCTAGGTTTGTGGCTCAGTGTGGGTTCCTATATTTACAAATATGATAGGGGTGAATATTTCCTTCAGTAATTCTATGCAAAGTCACTTGAGAAAGTTTAAATATTTAAACAGTTCTTAGATTTGAAGATTATTTAGTTCCAGGTGCACACCCAGAATATTTTCATAAAAATGAGTACACAAGGCTATCTCATATTTTTACTTTTATCGGTGTTTCTAGAATCTGGAGTGGAAGGTCTTTGTAAAGAAGCTAAATGTAAGTAATTTTTCAGTTAAAGATTCTGAGTTGAGACTTCTTTCTAGTTAGCCAGTGTGCATGTAACCTTAGTGTAGTGCTAACCACTGTGTGAAAGAAAAATTACCCTTCCATAAAACATTTCTGAAAAATTTTATTTGAATATGATGTTTACAAAAACAGTCAGGGAATGTTTTCATGTGATCAACCAGGGTGAGAAGGAAGGTCATCATAATTGTTTTCTAGGAAGGCTGGCTTTTCTGGGAGTCAGGAAAGTCACATTAGAAGATATGCATTAGTAGGACTTGTCTGGGAATTAGGGCAACATTTGTTTCCCAGCTGTTAGATTTCTACTGTGACCTCAGCCAAATGAGATCAGCTGAAGTTAGCAGCAAGCTCCATAGCTCCAGCTTCTGCTCCTTTTGCTACAGCTTGGGCCAAATGTGCACAGTAAGGTAGAAATCGGTAGTAAAGTAGAATTATGTGTAAAGATATTCACCCAGTCAGCATTAACTGATTATATGTGAGCCATAATAATTGTGGAGTGTGTCCATAATTTCTTAGAAACTGTCTTGCTCTCCTTGACCTGGTAGTAACTGTTTAATTCAAACATGAAGACTCAGCTGATACTCACCAAATGTCTTTTGGTGTTAACATATCTGTTCCAGCTGATAAAAGGCTTATCTTGATCCCCTCAAGCACCCATTTTGTACAGCCATCATCATCTCCATTTATTGAGATCATGGAGTAGTCACTTCATCTGTAGGGAAAGATTGCCTAGTTGTGAATTATTTTAAATGCAATTATTTGTTTGGGAACATCATTACTCATACCTTTTACAACATAACATTGTATTAGGAATTTCTACATTATACTCAGAGCTCTCTATGCATTTTTATTATAAGTGATACCTTAATTGTATAAATGAGTGAATTTCAATTGCATTATCCTAACCATGTATAGACTAGAGATGAACTTATCTTTTAATATGTCAAAAATCATGAGCAGTGAATTTTAACACATAAATCATATCCAGGAAGCCTCTTAAGGTGCCCTGGCTTTGTTACATATAAATTCATGTTACTCAACAAAAACATCCCACTAGTCTCTTTTTCTTTCTATTGAGGTCTTATAGAACAATCTTTAAAAAGCAGTACTTAATAAAAATGCTTGAGTGAAATACAGGGCTAAATGTCATTAGGGGCTGAAAATTTGGAAAATTTTGAAAACTCAGGGGAATTTAGCTAAGATATATTGGGAAACTTGGAAATATGTAAAGGATGTACTAGATGAAAATAGGATGTGAACTTGCTTCTTAAATACAATAATAAAAATATAGGCCTGTAAGAATAGTTGGAATCTTACCAGGAACAACTATTTTAAACAATGAAATCATCACAAAACCTAACAATAAGCAAGCCTAAAATTTTAAATTTATTTATGATTCATATTAGAACTAAGCATTGGGATTTCCATTGCTTCCTGTCAATGATTAGTTCAGATGATTTTCCCTACTGATGCCTCTTTAGCTCATTTCCCATTTCGATTTCTACAGATATGTTAATTTTTGTTAGTTTCAGTTTAGTCTGTATATTTGAGTGTACTTTTCAGTTTGCAGCTCCTAAGTTCAGATCCCAGTTAGCTGGCCTATTTGCTTTGCTGGGATAACTATTTTATATTTGCAATTTTTGTCAAGATGCTGAATGCTTATCACTTAAATACTGTTGTGGTGAGGTTAATGATCTCCTGCCAATTTCTGCTTGCTCCTGCTTTGAGTGTCATTCCAGATCACAAATTGAGTTTCTCGCACTGGGGGGATGTTGTAATGTTAATGTAATATAGTTGTTCGGCATCATGGACTATACTTAAGAGTACAATGTTTCGATAAATCTTTCTGCCAAGGCCGCCAGAGCCCCACTGCCACGTGGGCGCTCTCTGCCAGCTGCCCGAGTTCTGCCCACTGCGTGGATGGACAGAATAATACAGAGATATATTAGATACAATGCTGCTTGGCCAAAGACTAGGATTCCTCATCTGTTAGCTGAGTCTTAATGATCATACATCTATATATTTTATAAGACTTATCTTATTGGACACCTTATTGGTGTCCCTCCTTGCCAGTGGATCCCATTGTGCTGCTGGAGGAGCAAGGGGAAAAGGGGACACTTCCTAGTTCTCCTTGGTTAAATATGAGTCTCCTTGCTATGTCACTTCCTGCCTGGATCACGACTTGTCTACTACATTTCCCAGAATCCTCTTTGACTCCTAGTCCCATCTAACTTGCTGTCTCATTGGCCAAACACGTACTTTATTCAATAATCAACAAGATAAACATACAAAGAAGTACATTCCCCGTCAGTACAAAGTATAAACTCTTTACTTATCACAGTTATTCAAACATGATACCCCCTTCTACAATTGGCAAACTTTTTTATTGGCTAAATGTGGTCTTGCCATGTCTATATGACACTCCTTTGCTCTGGTCTTCCCCAACATTTGGCTCTTACATTCTTTCTACACCCTTTTCACGATGGTACCTATACCTTGGGTAGGAGGGTCTGATATAGATGTCTGATTTCTGGCTGAGCACTCTATAGTCACTCATTCTTTACATTTGGATTAATTGTGAGTTTCTGTGCTAACTACCATCTACTGCGCAAAGAAACTTCCTGATGAGGTTTGAGAGGTCCTTTAATCTATGGGTAGAGAGAGAGAGATGAATTTAGAGGGAAACTTTAAAAATATGTTCCTTCACCCAAATAACAGTAATATGTTCACCCTTGTGGCTTGTGAGTCATTAGTTCCCCAGTCATTAGTTCTTGACCAGATTTTCAATAGCAGGCATGGTTTTCCTCCTGGAGAGGCAAGACTTAATCTAATCAGAGAGTAGTTGTTTGCTCCCATAAATACCATACCGCATTACACCCATGAACATATCTTGGAGAAAAGAGTTCTTGATAGTGTTTCCTATTATGAATTGTTCTTTTATAATGATTAATATAATCAATATAATATTTTGATATGATTAATATCAAACTTAGGAAAAAAGACCTCACCATCAGTTTATCTATATGTTTGTTTTAGGTCAAAAGGTGTGTTTTGCTGATGTGAAACATCCCTGCTACAAAATGGCCTACTTCCATGAACTGTCTAGCCGAGTGAGCTTCCAGGAAGCACGCCTGGCTTGTGAAACTGAAGGAGGTGTCCTCCTCAGTCTTGAGAATGAAGATGAACAGAAGCTGATAGAGAGCATGTTGCAGAACCTGACAAAACCAGGAACAGGGATTTCAGATGGTGACTTCTGGATCGGACTTTTGAGAAGTGGAGATGGCCAAACATCTGGTGCCTGCCCAGATCTCTACCAGTGGTCTGATGGAAGCAGCTCTCAGTTCAGGTAAGCGAGACTGGATACTGAGGTGTTTATTAGTGTCCTGGAGGATTCAGAAGGGCCAAAGAAAAGCCTGGAAGCACTCAGAACACATGTTGCTAAGTGTCCCTTTGGTTCTGTATTTGCAGGAACTGGTACACTGATGAACCTTCTTGTGGAAGTGAAAAGTGTGTTGTCATGTACCATCAGCCAACTGCCAATCCTGGCCTAGGAGGTCCCTACCTTTACCAGTGGAACGATGATAGGTGTAACATGAAGCACAATTACATCTGCAAGTATGAACCTGGTAAGAACATCTGTAGCTATAGTAGATTTTGTGCATGTTTGTTCAGATAAGGCCTTGTCTTTAAGGCTTCCTGTCTTTATTATTCCTGTGAAGGAGGCATCATCTTCTTAGGTGTACAGAAACATATTGTTTGTAGGAGAGCAACCCAGCCAGTGTGTTGGATAAAAGCGAATGGGTAGAAACATTTGTTGGGAGAGGCATTTCCAAGAGAAAATAATAATTTATACATGAACCACACTCTGCTTTGTAATCGTGTTTTATAAATGATAATTGTCTGTGTGAAAAGATCTTAAATGCTTAGGAGAACAGTGCGGAAAGTAGGTATAAGCTACAAAATGCAGACAGACTTGCACACTTGTGAGCAATAGTCCCTTGGTTCATTCCAGCTGAGTTTAGGGGAACAATCAGCTTTCTCAAGGCATGTTATTTCACCTTGTTATATCATAATGTTTTCCATGTAATCCCTCACCTGAGTTTAAATCTCTTCTCAATAGTTAAAAAGAGAAGGTCACACTACCCATTCTCCATCTGATTTGTGTCTCTTGAAAAATGACACTTTGTTAGTTTTCTTGTGAAATATTCAGTTGCTTGTCATACACAGCCACTGGAAAATTACCTTGACCTAAGTCACATTAGTGTGGCTTCCCACAGAATGTAGTCAAATTGAGTTTTTAATAAGACACATCAATTGAATTGGGATTTAAACTACAAGAAGGACTAATCAAAGATGTGTAAACATATATTTGATCATCTTAGACACTCAAGTTAGATACTTAGGCCTTGATATATTTATTTTTCTATTTTTCTTCACAATGTTGGAAAGGGTCATTTTAACTTTATGAAGGACATGACCTCATAATATGTGCCCATAGAAGGCAATTATATCCAAGTACCCATGTTCCCATTATTCTTTGAAAATTACACAATTTCTTTTCTCATAAAGCCATGAAGCACAAGGGATTATTGGATTAGACTTCCCCTTCTTTTATGTTTATCCTGCTCTTGAGTATATTAGCCAAATTTTTTATATCCCTGGTGAGTTTATTCTTTGCCCTTGGTTGCTAAATCTGTCATTACACTCCTGGAAGCCTTTGCAGAGCTAAGTCTGTTATTCATTTCTTTTCTTTTCAGTTGTGTCTTAGAGAAATGCAGTTAAGATTCTGTGATATTTTCAATTTGCTGCAACACTTGACATTTATTAATGAGAGGGTTAAAGTAAGGAGTGTAGCTATGTAATACGTGTGCATGTATTTATCTATTATACCCATGATCAGTTTGAATTTATTATTTACTTTCATATTTCTACTCCCATATGTCATCTGGTAGCAGGACCACAAATGTTGAAAATGTTAAAAAGTTACCCTGTTTATTCAGAAATGGGATAATTCAATTTTATGTTTTCTTTTCCTCTACTGAAACACATATATATTCCTTTGGTCCACTGATATCTATTTTTATGGCAGTACTTTTAAGTGTTATTTTTGTGTTAAATTTGTCTTTTGCATCTGATGAGGTGACTATGTTCCAAAGACTAACTTTTTTGTATATAAAATAACAAGAAGGATGAATCTAATTTTTGAACAGTAAAAACATTTACAGTTGGTTTTGCTGTTATTGTTGTTGTTTGGTTTTTTATTGTTGTTGTTGTTTTTGTGTTATGACCCAATCTGATTTGAAACTCAAAATATAGCCCAGAATGGCTTCAGAATATGGTGAACCCCTAGACTTGTCATAAATAAAAGGATGTTATAGACTTACAGAGGGAAATTACAGTTTAGTACTCCACCCCCGAAATACTTCATTAAGGAAGAAACTGTCCCAGAAATCATGATGGGGCTCCTGAAGAACGATTCCAAAGAAAAATATCCTTCAATTCCGTTTACTTCTGGAGTATTAGTAGAGTTATAGTATTTACCTCAGGGAACAAGACAAAGACATCACAGGAGAGAGGACCACTTCAGCTCAGGAGAAATAAAGGAAATTCCTTACTCTTATAACTTTCTAGATGTGAGGTTTAGGGTTTGGAGGAGAGTGGGTGCCACACCATGTGGCCTGACCTGTGTGCCAGGAGTCTGAATGGATGTGTGGTACTAGAGTTATCCTTGGTTTGGATTTGGGTGAATGAGATGGAGGCCTTGTTAGGTGCAAGTAGAAGGAGACTTCAGAGCCACAGTAGGCTTGCTTATCAACCCAAATTTTCTTTACTACAGCAGGTAGGTGGTGGGGTAATTGGCAGATTTGTAATCTATTCTTGCCTAGCTAGGATTTTTTCTCACCAATACAATTTACTTTGATTAAACTGTCAATTGGTTTCTTAGGGGGAAAGTATATGACATGGTAGCACCAGACCATGGTAAGAACTCAAGCATTTCTCATGCATTTGGGAATTCAAAGATCTAATCACATAAAGCTAGAAAAGAAACAAGGTGTAAAACTTGACTTACTGTTATTAAAAGGAGCAGGCCCTATTGGAATTCACATCTCAGAATGTCATTATTTGGGTAGCACAGACGTGATTTTCAGATGGCTGCTTGGTATTTACATAGTTGGGCAAGATACCCAAGATGCACACATAGTAAACAACAGGAGGCACCTCCAGAATCAATTGCAAAAGCTGCTGAACTGCAGTGAAGGGACTAGGAACAGTTCCTCTAAGCAGAGGCTGGGCTACTGTCTTCAGGTTTAAGGAAGTAAATCAAAAGAATCTTGAAAACAGGCTTTCAGGACTGACAGCAACAGGAAAAATTGGCATGTGGCTTCATTTTCCTCTTGCTTTTAGATGCCACAACTTTCAATTCTCCAGAGATACCCACCCCATCTTGCTCCCTCCCATATGCAGTGGCAAAGTCCCTTTGCTGTTTTATTGCCTGTGTGCTCTCATTTGTATGCTAAACCATCTCTTCTTAAATTTTATTTACATAATGGATTCCCACAAAAATGGCTGCTGCTTGAATCAGCAACTCCACATACAACTATGGACCTATCTGCTAATTGTTATTGCACAATAAAGGCAATTACACAGAAAATTCACCTTTGTTTTGAATTGTATCTTATGTATTACATTTTAAGTTCACAAAGGATTATTTAACCCTGTAATGTTGGGTCCCTTTGTCATTGCTGATTGTAGCAGCACTCTACCTCTGTTGGTTGCTAAATGAAGTTTGGAATTATAGAAAGAATTTACAAAATTGGTTCTTTTATTCAGAGGTAATTAAACATTGGCTATTTTAGTTAATTTTATGTGCTTTTAAATTTGTAATATATATTTGACTGTAAATTATTCAGAAATCCAAATCAACCTTTCACTGTTTAATGATAAATTTTTATTTTTGTTGATGTTTGCATTTTACTTGTTTATTATTCTTCATTCCTATGCTAATTACTTGCAGAGATTCAGCCAACAGACCCTGTTGAGAAGCCTTTTCTTACAAACCAACCTGGAGGCACGCATGAGAGTGTGGTTGTTACTGAAGCAGGTGAGTCCTATCTGTGTGTTCTTATGTCTCAACTGAAGAACTGTGCTTTGAACCAGTGCTTCATGCTGACCCCAGGAAAACCTTTCATGTGGTTCAAGGATGTCGTGCTTTAAGTATGGGCCCAGAGACATTTACTTTTGACCTACATGAGAAATAACTATGCAATGATGCATTTTAGATAGAATAACCTTTTTAAAAAATTCCTTATCAGGCTGGGCGGTGGTGGCACACACCTTTAATCCCAGCACTCCGGAGGCAGAGGCAGGCAGATCTCTGTGAGTTCAAGGCCAGCCTGTCTCCAGAGAGAGAACCAGGATAGGTTCCAAAGCTACACAGAGAAACCCTGTCTCAAAAACAAAACAAAACAAAACAAAATAATAATTCCATTTCAGATGGAAGTATCTAGTATGAAACAAAATGATCCACCTGTATCTACAAAGCATTTCCCAATACAATGTAGTAGTTACCATGTAAAGTGGCATATTTAGTGGCCTGGAATAGCAGTTTGCTGTTGAATGTTAGGGCTTGTTTGGCAGTAGAGATGAGGTATAAAATAAGCCTCATTATAGTTTATGTAGTCTTCCCTGGTATAAATACCTCTATCTGGTCAATTACAGACTATCACTGTGACATCACCATATGGAATGTTGGAAGGAGGTACACACAATGGGCTCTCTACCCCTATGTCACTCATGAGACAGTAAAAAAATGCAATCTCCAGTGAAAGTTCCATATTAGCCAGCTATAGTTGGAAGTTTCTGTCCTGCCCAGTCCTGCAGCTGTTCAGTCCCAAATAAACATACAGAGGCTCATATTAATTATAAACTGTTTGGCCTATTGCTCAAGCATGTTACTAACTAGCTCTTACAACTTAAATTCACCCATAATTCAGCCGGCCGGAGATGGTGCATGCCTATAATCCCAGTACTCAGGAGGCAGAGGCAGGTGGATCTTTGTGGGGTTGAGACCAGTCTGGTCTACAAGTTCCAGGACAGCCTCTAAAGCCACAGAGAAATGCTGCCTGGAAAAACAAAACAAAACAAACAACCAAAAAACAACAACAACAACAAAAAATTCACCCATGATTCTTATCTATGTTTAGCCACATGGCTTGGTACATTTTTTCAGTAAGGCATTTTTGTCTTGCTTCCTCTGCTTCTGGCTGGTGATATGACTCTCTGCCTTCCTCTTTCTAGAATTATACTAGTCTGGTCTTCCTGCTTATACTTCACCAAATAGTGTTTTTATTAAGCCAACATGAGTAAAAAATGTTTACAGTATACAAGAACATTATTCCAAAGCCACCAGCAACCCTCAATATTCCTTAAGCCTTTTTTTGTGACATGACATAATCTAGATGGAAAGAAATATTTATTCTATTTCTTTTGTGAATCTTGATCCAAAGAACCAAATATTTTAAAATCAATAACTCACAGATAGAGGTTCAGAAGGAAGGCTGAGCACTCCACAATCACTATTGTCTCCATTTTGATCCCCATTTTGATAACAAGCACGTGGGACACCGACACAGACAAACACACACATACACACACACCAAGACTTGAAGTAAAGACGAAGTAAGGAGAGGGATCTGTGAGAATCTGGAGTGTTGAGTTAGGGGTAGGTTTGATTAAAATGAAAAGCATTTGTATATGAATTTAAAAATATGTTAAACAGCATCATATCTCTGAATTACATATCACTAGATCTCATTAAATACACCCTTTAACAAAGGAAAGGATAAACCATGAGGTGAATAAATTATGGCTACCTTTTATTAGACTCCTTAAGATTTGTGATTTGTGACTTTTAGTTTGTAAGCCAAATGCAATGTTTCTCTTTGTTTTCCCAAACAGACATGTTGTTAAGTCTTTGGGCTTATTATGTTTCAGGTATCTGATTTTAACATCTAAACACAATTAAATTTATCAGTGAATAATTAAACTACAGATATGTTTCCTCTTATAATATTGGAAGTATGGCTAATAAAGTCATTTCATGCTCTGTAGGTCTTGAGTGTTGGTGATTTTCTTTGAAATCTACTAAGAATATATACCATCATTGAAAGTGAAACAGCAGGGCTAAAAGATGACCTATTTTCAGAATTTAATTAAATCATGTCATTGCCTCCAGAGTCTTGTGTCTCTGGGTCGTGACTGCATCGTTCCCACCTAGTATGTGCTCATTGTCACTTAAGGCCAGATGCATTTTCTCCTGATGTCAAGCTTATTGGCTAAGATAATTCATTATCTACTAAGTCAACAATGATTATAGTAATTATTATTTCTTAATATAAAGTCTTACTTCTCCCATGATGCAGAAGAATTAATAAAACGAGACAGCTAAGATTATTAACATGTTATGAAAATTAGCCCATGTCTGAATTGGAAATGTAATAGAAATTTGAAAGCATGTGTATTTCAATTGAGCGTGCCAACCAGGGCATTACACTTCTGTTTATAATTTTGTCAAATTATCTATATCTTTTAAAAGCTCTTGTACTTAGAGTTTACATTTTGATAACAATTTTATTTTCCCTTAATCTCTAGGAGAATCTGCTATTAACTTTGCATTTTGGGTACCTTCTGAGCTATCATTGAACACTAAAACTGTTTTATTTTTGTAGGTATAATTCCCAATTTAATTTATGTTATTATACCAACGATTCCACTGCTTTTACTGATACTTGTTGCTTTCGGGACCTGCTGTTTCCAGATGTTGCATAAAAGGTAATACCCATATTTGTGTCAAGATAATTAAGAGAAAAAATACTTAAATGTACTGTTCTTCCCTGTCAGTATGTACTTAGATTATCTGAGGAATCTAGTGTCTCCTTTATACTTCACAAGTCCTGTGAATTTCTTCCTTTGTTGTTTTTGCTTTTCAGTCAGGAAAATGGTGGCTCAGCTGGGTCATCTTCAGTTGTCTTGTGTTGTGCACTTAGCACATGCAATGGGTCTGTAGTGTGAGTGTTTGTGAGCTCATATGAGATGCACTGTACATAAGGTCTCTGGATTGTTAAAATAAAATTGATGCTAAACCTTTCAATATGAATATCAAGTTACCTGTAAGACTTAGTTTTAAGGGTAGTTTCAAGATTCAAATAATAGGCTTTTTTTTTTTTCAAAAAAAAAAAAAAAAAAAAAAAAAACCTTTTTAAGACTAGGAAATTGTGTCATTGTGGAAACAGCAAGTTGAGTGTGGTGCCCTTGGGAAGAAGAGGCAGGATTAACACGAATGTAAGGTGAGCTTGAGCTAGTGAGTTCCAGGGCAGTCTGAGCTACATCATGAGCCCTTGTCTCGACAAAAGATAAAAAAGTTCGTTCTTTTCCAAACACACACACACAGAGAGAGAGAGAGAGAGAGAGAGAGAGAGAGAGAGAGAGAGAG